AAGAAAAAAAATAAAAAAAAGTGGCCAGGGCGGTGGCTCACGCCTGTAATCAGCCTTGCGAGGGCCAATGGTTTTTAAGATGGAGTCTCATTCTGTCACCCAGGCTGGAATGCAATGGCACGATCTTCGCTCACTGCAACCTCTACCGCCCAGATTCAAGCGATTCTTCTGCCTCAGCCTCCCAAGCAGCTGGGACTAGAGGCACACGCCACCATGCCTGGCTAATATTTTATACCTGGCTAATTTGTTAGATGTTTTACTGAGATGGGGTCTTACTGTGTTGCCCAGGCTGATCTGGAAAATCTGGCCTCCAGCGATCCTTCTGCCTCAGCCTCCCAAAGTGCTGGAATTACAGATGTGAGCCACTGCACCCAGCCTTGGAAAGTTTTTGAAATGTTTGAGACTTTAAACTGGACTAGCAGTGAAGGAAATGGAAAAGGGTGGGTGAGTTTTCAAGGTGCAGGTGAAGGCAGGAGAAGAGTCCAGGCACAGAGAAGCAAGTCCTGTCTCTGGGGACTGTCAACAGACAGTAGAATACCAGCTGGACGGGACACCTCGTGAGAATTTAAGTTGGTATCAGAATATGAAGGGCTGTGAATGTCAGGATGTTTTGTCCTGGGAGAAATTTAAAAGTTTTCTGGAAAAGTAAGTAATCCATATAGTGTTTAGACAGTTCAGTTTTCTTCAACAAGGTTACGAGAAGACAAAAAAGAGACAGAATTGGAGGGAAAGCCAATGGATTAAAAGAGACTTAAAAGATGCATCAACCAACTACAATGAATGGACCATATTTGCATTTTGATGCAGAAGAACAAATCTTTTAACATGTATGGGCTGGGCACGGTGACACATGCCTGTAATCCCAGCACTTTAGGAGACTTAGATGGAAAGATTGCTTGAGTCGAGCAGTTCGAGACCAGCCTGGGCAACGTAGCAAGGCCTCATCTCTACAAAAAAATTTAAAAGTCGGGCATGGTGGCATGCCCTTGTAGTCCTAGCTACTCCGGAGTCTGAGGTAGGAGGATCGCTTGAGTCTGGGAGGTTGAAGCTGCAGTGAGCTGTGATCGTGCCACTGCACTGCAGCCTGGGTGACAGAGTGAGACCCTGTTTCAATAAAATAAAACTTTTAAAAATCATAAAATTTGAAACAGTTGAGCATTTTAATATGAAATGTGAGACCACTGCACATTTTAATGTTAGTTTAAGGAATTAATGTCAGATTTCTTCAGGTGTGATGATACTGTGGTTACACAGTGCTTTAAAGTGTTTAGCCTTTAATCCTACATGCTGAAATGCTGATGGATGAAATCACATCATGTCTGGGATTTGCCTTTTCCACAGGGGTGGGTATAGTATGTATGGATCAGGTGAAATGAGATTAGCCCTGAGCTGAAGCTGGTAATGAGAACTCATTGTATGCTTCTGTCTGCTTTGGTGTTAAAAACTCTGGGGGAAAAAAAAAAAAAACAGTTGGAAAAGAAAGTATTAAAGATTGATCTGGAGTCTGTAAGTCTGGTGATTTGAAGGTAAGAGTGAGAGACTGTGGCTCAGAGGCCAGTGAAGTGCTGGCATAGACTGTCATTTCGATGGGACTAATGAATTAGGAAGAATAATGACAGTGGAAGAGTGGCTATTTCTCAGTTTTTCTGTACTAAACATTGAAATATCCTAGGATGATTTTTGTTTGTTGACAGAATGGTTTATTAAAATTGTACCATTTCAAAGGAAGTGATAAATGAGTTTGGTGTGTTATCGAATAATTTCAATTAATACATTGACTCAATATCTTTATATTAGAATGACAATTAAAAAATGAAAACCTCTCAGTTATTACTCCTATGATTTATATTGTGTTTTTTAAATTCTTGTTTCTAAGTGCCTAGAGTACTGAGAAATTTAAAGAATGACATAATAAGAGACTAAATCAACATATACTTTTTCTTTCTAATAGGACTCACTGCATTCCTTAATGGCAACGCTAAGCTCCTCTAATCCTTTCTTTGTTCGCTGTATCAAGCCAAACATGCAGAAGGTAAGATTGATGTCAGTCCTAGGCTGGGATCTGTCTCGAGGGACACAGCCTCCTGGGGTGGTTACTCACAGATTTGGTTTCTCCAAAGTCCTTTCATTGTAAGTGGTTGGAAATGGATATGACATTATTATAACTTGACATTAAATGAAAAAGTGCCCTTTGTCCCTTGGGCCTGTTAGTCTGCTTTTGAGTGATGTTATTAAGCTTTAGGGACATCTATTTTAAAAGGAAACATTGTGAAGCCTTTACTTTTTTTTTTTTTTTTAAGCATTTGGTTTAAAATTCTTGGGAAAAGTTCCAGAGTGTGATACACCTTTTTAGAGGAAATATTTGATGTGTGGTGGCAGATTTTTTTGTTTAAGTTTTTATTTGTCTTTCTTTCTTTCCTTTTTTGCTTTATTGTTATTTTAAACATGATGAAGAGGCTTTAAGTAGGAATGCTAGATTTTAAGTACTTTAAATAGTTGATTATAACTAATTAGAAGATACTCTAAAGGTTGTCATAAGTATTAATGTCTTGTCTCTTTGATTCTAACTTTTTAATTTCATAATCCGATTAGAAAGAATGTGAGTTTAAAAAGGAAAAGCTACCTAAACAAAGAAACTATAGTGTTACATATATGCAGTCGCCAAATCCACCGCTAATTAGGTAGCTTGTCTTAAAGTATTGTTAATACATTTAAATTACTTTGATTCAGCAAACAGCCTCTTAGGAATGCTTCTTACTTGAGAAAACACCTACAAAATTGTAATTTTAAGAACTCCTAATGTTAAAGAACTAGATGCCATCCTCATAAGGTTTAAGGTAAAAAGTCTCATCTGAACTGTTTCCCGTGAGATTATATTCTGGTAACTTGACTGATGCTGGATCTTATTTTTTATATTGTCAACCAATTGCCTTGGCTTAATATTACGTGAATTCCTGATTTATAGCTTAAAGATGTATGCTTATAAGAACCGCAGTAGCTAGGCGCGGTGGCTCACGCCTATAATCCCAGCACTTTGGGAGGTCGAGGTGGGCGGATCACATGAGATCAGGAGTTGGAGATCAGCCTGGCCAACATGGTGAAACCCTATCTGTACTAAAAATACAAAAATTAGCTAGGCATGGTGGCACACACCTGTAATCCCAGCTACTCAGGAGGCTGAGGCACAAGAATCACTTGAACCCAGGAGGTGGAGGTTGCAGTGAGCCAAGATCCGCTGCTGCACTCCAGCCTGGGAGACAGAGCCAGACTCTGTTTCAAAAAAAAAAAAAAAAGAATAAAAAGAACCACAATGTTGTATTATCTGTCTTCTAGAGAGGCAAAATCGGACATCTCTTTAAGAGAAAGTAACCTGTTCATTTTGTTACCTTACTGGGAGGTATGATGGTGAGAATTTGGTGTTTGTGTGACCTGAAGTGACAAAGTGGTTTTCTGTAGAAGATCTGTGCTGACTTTACGTGGATGGTTCTGGTAGTTTAAAAAGTAACCCGTCTTTCCATTTTTCAAATGTATGTCAAAATATTTAAGGTTATCACCAAAAAAAATTGCGATATAAACAAATGCATAGCTTTTTTGGGGATATAATGTAGGAAATTAATGTGAGAACATCTCTGTTTATAACACTATGTCATGTAGCTGGTTTATATTCCACTTGGTTTGCTTTGTACCCTCTGGTGGGCAGTGTTTACCAGACAATAGAAGTGGGCTTTGGTTTTTGATGTAGACTCCCAGGAGTTGCTCGGTTTCTGATGGTGTTCTCTTCCCTTTTTACAATAAGGATGATAGGGCCATATTTCATCTTTCAAACATGCAAGATTGTTTCTCAATTTAAAGTCTTGACATCCTGGCTAACACGGTGAAACCCCGTCTCTACTAAAAAATACAAAAAACTAGCCAGGCGAGGTGGTGGGCGCCTGTAGTCCCAGCTACTTGGGAGGCTGAGGTGGGAGAATGGCATAAACCCGGGAGGCAGAGCTTGCAGTGAGCTGAGATGGGGCCACTGCACTCCAGCCTGGGCGACAGAGCGAGACCCCGTCTCAAAAAAAAAAAAAAAAAGGTCTTGGGTGTTTGGCTGGGTGTGGTGGCTCACGCCTGTAATCCCAACACTTAGGGAAGCTGGGAGGTGGGTGGATGACTTGAGGTCAGAAGTTCGAGACCAGCCTGGCCAACGTGGTGAAACCCTGTTTCTACTAAAAAGACAAAAGTTAGCCAGGCATGGTGGCATATGTCTGTAGTCCCAGCTACTTGGGAGGCTGAGGCAGGAGAATTGCTTGAACCCAGGAGGCAGAGACTGCAGTGAGCTGAAATCGCACCACTGCACTCCAGCCTGTGGGACAGAGCAAGACTCTGTTTCAAAAATAAAAATTAAAAAATAAAATATTGGTTGCTGGGATGCATCTCACAGTTTCTGGTGAGCCATAGTCTAATTGGAAGCTTTTTTGCCATTCTTTGTGGTGTGAAACAGTTTTATAATCATAGGCATCTTAAATTCCCGCCCTGGCAGTGCTATAATAAAGATAGAAACTTCAGTTTGAAATACTCAGTCCCCAGTGTTTCTGTTTTCTCTCTTAGATGGCACAGAGTTAGTTTTTCCTTCGAATTGTACTAGCTTTTGAAACTAGGCCTGCTTGGAAGCAGTTTAGCCAGAATGTTGCAGAACCGACCTTATTTTTCCATACTGAGATTTGATAGTACCTAGTTGCTTTGGATTTTGCATTTAGAAAATGAACTAACTCAACCTCAGGTTTGCATTTGTATTGGCTCACTTTACATATGGCAGACACTAATTAATAACGCCCCAGTGATAGGCTATAGAAACCTTTCAGAGAATGTCTTGGTGCCCTTTTAAAGGCACTCAGAAGGCTGGGGGCGGTGGCTCACGCCTGTAATCCCAGCACTTTGGGAGGCCAAGGCGAGTGGAATTGGAGACCAGCCTGACCAACATGGTGAAACCTCATCTCTACTCAAAAACAAAAATTAGCCAGGTTTGATGGCACATGCCTGTAATCCTAGCTACTCGGGAGGCTGAGGCAGGAGAATTGCCTGAACCTGGGAGGCGGAGGTTGCCATGAGCCGAGATCGCGCCGTTGCACTCCAGCCTGGGCAACGAAGTGAGACTCCATCTCAAAAAAATGAAAAAAAATAAAGGCACGCAGCAAGTGAAGACAGAGGCACAAGAGCTGACTTCTCTGAGGCCTAAAATGTAGGTGTGATGGTAAATGGAGACGCTAATTTGATTATGGCAATATAGCTATGGCTCGATTAGCATTCATTTGGTACCATTGGAAATATTGAACTGTCACTGCCTATTATGTTCTGTGACACGTATGCAAATGACCTTTATTTAGAGTTCCTTATACATTTTTTGTTTAATCCAAAGATAGAGTCTTCTAGAAATTTCACAGGAAAAATCTTGCCTTCTTCCTCTCCAGAGATGGGGAAATGTGTATTTTCAGTGTGAAGGGATGAGACAGTTTCTCCTCACCTCATTTTCCTCTCCAGTCACAGTCCACCAAAGGACTTGGGAGGTCGTATTCAAATATGTGTGTATTTAGGTATTTTGTGCATTATTCAGAAGCAAGGAGCATGGGTTTTAGCAAATATAGAAGTTTTTGTTTTGTTTTGTTTTGTTTGAGACAGAGTTTTGCTCGTTGCCAGGGCTAGAGTGCAGTGGCGCGATCTCGGCTCACTGCAACCTCCACCTCCCGGGTTCAAGCAATTCTCCTGCCTCAGCCTCCTGAGTAGCTGAGATTACAGGCATGCACTACCATGCCCGGCTAATTCTGTATGTTTAGTAGATAAGGGGTTTCTCCGTGTTGGTCAGGCTGGTCTCAAACAGGGAGGAGAGCCAGCCGGACGTGTTCCAAGAGGTGATCTTGGAACCTCAGGTGATCTGCCTGCCTCAGCCTTCCAAAGTGCTGGGATTACAGGTGTGAGCCACTGAGCCTGGCCAGAAGTATTTTTTTATGTGTGTTTTATCATAAAGACATAATAATGGCAGCTGTAAAGTCCATAACCTAGAGACCTGTAGCATTAGAACAACAGAAACACCTGTAGCTGCTTTTGTGCCTTCAGGAGTAGATTCAAGACTCCCACATTCGCTGGGCTAGTGGGAGCGTAGCCCCTTTACCCACAGTGGCTATTAGGACAGGCTGCCTCTCCTCCTTGCAAAGTGTTTGAACCCCAGAACGTGCATCTGGGGCTAAAGAATCTAGAAATCCTTTGTGAGCTTTTGTTTGGATTGTTAATTTTTTTTTTAATTTGGATTTTCTATGTATTGTTTTGAAAAACAGGTGCAAAGAAGGAGTGTATAACTGAAATGCTGCATGCATATGTCAATGCAGCCATCACAATATGTGGGCTTTTTTCTTTTTCTGTAAACAGCCGTTTACTAATCTTGGGTATTGTATAGAAGGCACTTTGCTAGCCTCACTGGCGCTCAGTGAGGAAGCAGCTAGAAAAGCCTGCCTCCTGAGAGATGCCAGTCTGCCATGGGCCTTGGCATTGGGTGTAACCCTCCGCTGAGCTTGGAGTTTTCAGAGTTCACCAAGGGTAGACTTCTGCATTCGACGAGTTTTAGTTGGTCATGAGGACTTTCAGCTTTTTTTATTGTGATTTGTTTGGGCGGTAGCAGTGGCACCCAAAAGTGCTCCGGCCAACCACAGATTTCTGTAAGATAGAAAACCTGCTTTTCGTCATCAGAGTCTCCCCAAGGGTGTCCCTACTTGGTGTTTTAGCAAGTAAGTTCCAGGCAGAAAAGTCTCTCATTAACATTCTTCAGAAAAGCCCCGAGGAGGTTCAGGGCAGAATTAAAGAAGGGAACTGACTGATACATACCAGGAACACCTTGTGGGGTGTGAGAACCAGTTGCCAGCAGTTACCTGCAGATTCAGCCTGGGCTGCCTCTGGGAACACGTCTGGCGGGCTCTCCTCCCTGTTCTGTCTTTAGGTTTGCTGTGTCCAGGATGCAGGTTCTAGGAGGGAAATGTCATGGGTCCCAGCAGCAGCATCTTT